TGTAGTATATAATGTTTATGAATATAACCGAATATTCTTTACATGTTAACTTGAACATTTCATTGTCGTTTTAAATTTTTAAATATCCTATACGCAGAAATTCTAGAGTTTCAATGACTTTTGGAATACGTGTAAAAGGTAAAATGCTAACCTTTATCTAAGAAATAGGTTGTAGAGAAATTAGGAATATTTTGAAAGCAAGAAGAAGGTATTAAGAAGGTGTTTTTAAGAAGGTGGGAGAAATACCGTATATACTGCCCCTCTTACAACGCCTTCGCCGGGAATCGAACCACGGACCTCTGGAATACGCCCCCAGCATGCACCCCACTACACGCTAAGAAGGCGAAAGAAGTACCTGATAATGTAAATAATGTTTTCTGAAACACGTAGGAAAGCAAATTTAAGTATGATTAATATCTAGCCTCTGATCACCATGAAAGAAAATAGAAATATTTTCTAAAAGGGGTTATTTCTCTACTTTAACAACAAAAAAATCTCAGCGCTTATTTAGAGTGTAATTTAAAATGATTAATTTTTATTTGAAAAAGGAGAATTTTTTCTTTCTAATTAAATAAATTAGAAATAACTGTTTCGCTCATTTTATTTTTTATACTTTGAAACTGAGGAAATACTGAGGAAAATTTCGAAGTGCACGAGTGTCTTAATTAACAAACTTTTTAATAATTTGGTAATTAATAGTAATTAATTAAGATTATAAATATATAAACAGTAATGTTTGTTTTTTATATTTTTAATTGAAGATCAGAGAGATTATTTAATACCTTGATAATTTGAAATTTTAATGGAAAACTATATTTGTAAATAATGTTTTGCAATTTTACTGCATCGCCTCACGTAATAATCTTTCAAAATGGCGTCCTTTTCCTTCAATCCGCGAAGGGTCGTCATAAAGCGAGAAGATTGCATATTTATTTTTCTATCTGATGAAAGAAAGGATATAAAGTTGAACAAAATATTTTTACAACTTTTGATAACTGTAAAACGAGAAACCAGAAACGCGTCATTTCTGTACACTTGAAATTTCTGCTTTTGAAAAGGTAATGACTGATACGCTTCAGATGCCGTAAATGAGACATTCTGCGTGTCTCTCTGAAGAGGAATTTACATTCATTATCCTTCTTCTGAGGTATTTACAGGAGCAGTCATCACTGAGGGGAACTTAACGATGCAAAATATTTTCACATTTCCCATCAGCACATCAAGCAGCTTAAGAAGCTTGTTAGGAGGGTGAATTCATTTTCGGCATATCGGTCTCCGCTTTGAACTCAACTGTCATTTCCGAATTGAGCAGGAATGAAGTGGGTGCAAAATGTTAGCAATTTTAAGTAGTAAGGAACTAAATACTGTAAACATAGTGTGTAATATATTCTCATTAGATTTGTAAAACGTTACTTGCAGTTATTAAAATATATTGTAGAGACATTAGGTTAATTGGAAAAGTCGGAGAGATGAAAAATTGGCATCGCCTTCGCCGGGAATCGAACCACGGACCTAGCGAGCAGACAGACCGAGCGGGCAGAACCACTACACCACGAAGGCACGCTAGGAAAGTGTGAGAAATACCTTATAATATAACTTATGTTATGCAAAGGAACTGATCAACATAAAATAAATTGAAATTTTAAATTTATTAGAAGATTTTGCATTTACATAATCTAGAAAACAATCATTTCTGCCTTAAAAACAACATCCGTAGGAAACACGTTTGAAGAATTTCCATTATTGTTTTGCGTTTTTAAAGAAATCGTCTAAAATGAAATTCAGGTTAATGCTTATGCTGCGCATTTAACCCCTTCCAGAAACATTTTTTTGGAGAGAGCATTTTTGCAGTTACACACGCTTATCTAACGGTGTTCGCCGAAAATATCGAGGCAAAACCACCTAGGACAAGAACATAGCGGAAGAAACAATGCAAAGCGAAAACGTCGTGGTACAAAACATCGTGGGAGAAAAGAAAGCAAAGAGAGAACATCGCAGTTGAGTTAAGAAGAAACGGTCAGAATGTATATTTCTGTTGAAATATGATATACGCGAAAAGTTCGCAATTACCATAATTCCTTTATTTCGAACAAAGAAGAAAAAACAGTAGCCAGAGAAATCTATAGCCTTGACGTAAACTTCAAATATTTATGTTCATGTCTACCTTCTGTTAATTGAGTTTGCGCTGCAGCAAATGATTTCTCAGAACATCTAGAAAGGAAGCATTAAATATTGCAATGAATTTGAAAAAAAATGCATCCTGAGAAATTTCGAGTAATCTAACACTTCAAAGAGTGTTTTATTTTTAAAACTCTTAATAAATTAGAAAGATTTTTAAATTCTTTGAAAATATAAAGATTCATAAAAGTTTCGCAATCTGATTTGCAGTCAGATTCCTGTTTAACTCTTGAAACATATTTAAGCTAAAGAGTTACGGAAGATCTAATAGTTAAAAGTTCAAGATATGTAATTTAAATCCTTTATTTGTTTTATAAGGTATTTTCTCCCTCCTTTCTGCATGCCTTCCAGGTGTAGCGGTAGCACACTCGGCGCATATTCGAGAGGTACCGTTTCGAGGCCCGGCGAGGGCATTGCCCATTTTTCACGTGCCCAGGTTAAAATAATCTAATGACCCTACGGTGGCGCCCAAACTAAAAGGTGGTGGATGATGATTCGTCACCACCAGAATCTATCACTTGTCTATCAGTTGGGTCTCCTAATCCCCAGTCTCTCTTTGGAAGGATGGTATATGAGGTATTTTCTCCTTCTTTTCTGCATGCCTTCGTGGTGTAACTATAGCACATTCGGCGCGTATTCGAAAGGTCCGGTTTCGAGTCCCGGCGATGACATTGCTCATTTTCCGTGTACTACGCGCACTAATACAACCACATGCATCTAGCGCGACATATTCTAAGGTGCAAAATGTAAGTAATGGAGAAACACACAGATGTAAAATCCCGCAGTAATATGCTAATTGTAAATGCAAAAGTAATCTATGTATATTAGGAATGCCAATGCAATCCATTATATGTTTTTTGTACACAGTAATTATGTTAATGTAATGATAAAGCAATAAGTGTAAAGAGGCCCACCAGCGGCCGAGCGGTAAAGTCGCGGACACGTATTGGTCCGAGGTTCGAATCCCGCGAACGGGCTGGCTGCATGGGCGTTTTCGTGGTTTTTCCCATGTGTAACGTGTATACGAGCCACTTTCCCTTAGAAAATCCTCCACGAGGCATCCCTCCCCTTAGGCAATCCCTCAGGCTTTGCCATAACCACACACACACAATAAGTGTAAAGAACTTCGGTATAGATTGCAAAGCTTACCGGTTTAGGTATAAGGAGTAATGTAATATGCATATTCGTATACGTTATTCAGTATAATTTATCCTGCATAATGTTTCACCTGAGCATAACAAATTCTCCTGCATACAACTTAACACGCATCATGTATATACCCCCTTCTGTGCATGTTTTTCCTATGTATCACTAATTTCCCTGTGTATAATTTAATGCGCATAACACAGCCAGTGCAAAACAACATTATTACAATCTGATGATAATGTATCTGTTACCAGTATACGGCCTATTAGGAAAGAAAATTAATGTAATAAGTAGTTGCGAAGTTAATGTTAAGGTAAGGCGTTATTTCTCAATCTGATGTGTAGAATATAATGTAATGTGTAAACCATGTATCGCAATATATAATGTAATATGTAGTGTAGTATGTGCTGATAAACGAAGTATGCACTATCTTGTTAATTTGATATGTAGTACATAATCTAATGCGTAAGCCATGTATCGTAATATATAATGCAATGATAGTGTCATATGTATCATAATATATAATGTAATATGTAATGTACTGATTAATAAGAAACATGACACACAATGCAAAGCCCAACTGAAACAATGCGAATGCAAACTGTATAATAGTATTATGTATAACGATGTAGGCAGTGTATCGAGTAACGGGTACAATTGGCATGGTGCCGATGACAATTCAATATGCAACCAGGGTATAAAGCTTATTATGTGTATAATTTATCCTGTATAATGTGTGTATAACTAATTTTCCTGTGAACCCGTATCATGCTTATAACCCCCTATTGCGTATAATGTTCCTACGTATCATTAACTTCCCCGTGTATAATATAATGCGTATCCTATGTCTAATGCGAATCCTGAGAAAAATAACCCTTTTATAATCTAACAGTATAGGGTTTATAAGGAAAGAATTTTAATGTAATAAGTTGATGTGAAGTTAATGTAATGTTAGGGTAAAATATTAATTTGATATGTAGTATATAATGCAATGTGTAAATCATGTATCGTAATATATAATGTAATATGAAATGTAAGATAAAGGTGGACGTGGTGCTGTACTGATTAGCCAAAATGGTAAAGGAACAGTGCCCTCGTCCTGCGTCGCTTATCACTTTCCTACTTTAAACATCCTAATGACTCTACAGTTTCTAAATATCTTTAAAAGGAGCTGTTTAATGCAATATTCCAAATCACAAGCAGAAAACAGCAATGCTTTTATTTCATCCTAAAGTTTTGTCTCGTACATGAAGATTATATTATTACATATATAGAAGGATTATGGCTTCCCACGAATTTTTGGAATCCCGGGGTATTTCTCTCGAAAGTCAACTTCATACCGTTCCGGAGGAGATGATATTAGAAACAGACGCGGACAAATTTTAATAGTATAGATTTAATGTATTACACCGTTTATAATAGACATTATAATCTCGAAAATATTAATATAAACCCTAGATCAGGAATATTTCTCTAATATGTTACTGTAAGTCGCAGGGCACGAAAGATTTTCGAATTTTTACTACTTAATCTGTAATTGCTTTGTGACTTACCCTACTCTACTGGCAACAGTAATGTTCTAATCCTCAATTATTAATATCACCCATAAACTTAATTTAAAACAGTTCGGGTCCAACTGTATGACGATATCTCTAAATTGCTATTGTTTTCTACAGGGTGCCCTGTAATGGGCTGCTGGGGAGGGCAATGGAGCTGGAGGAGTTGCACTTCGCCGACGACTCTGCAGACGACCCTTATGACATCGTCCTCTTGCCGGACAGCAACAAGATCGCGCCTGAGAATAGGCTGTCTCCCGCCCACGCTTGCATCTCCCTGCCCTTGAAAGGTGAGTTCAGATTTCTGTCCTGTAAATCTGACACCAGTACTTACGCGTTATAATTAGCACCAAGAGAAACTTTATAATTGACATTAAAATAAATAATTTAAATTTTCCAAAATAGTCATTATATGTATTTCGGGATTTTTGATTTTTAATTCGTTATGTTTCTGCGTTTTGAATTGATTACTTCAAATTAATGTAAATGAATTTAGTGAATGTCGTTTCTGCTAATCTAACATATTAAGATTTCTTAAAACTAAAAATTGTTTTTCTGTCATCAGATGGGCAAGAGATGTATGACCACTTGTATGAAAATCACACAATTATTTAAACCGGAATAATAAAAGAACTATTTCGAAATAAAATCTCAAATATTTCTTCTCTCCTCAGCGTATGTATTCCAGCTTCCCTGGATACAGTATTAAACACTATGGCGAAATGTCACTGGCAGCCCTTTCTTATTGTATTAAAATACACTAAAACAAAGCATTTTATTAAAGACTTTAAGAGCAAATATAGGACTTCAGAATAGTTAGTTGATCCGAAATTCTTAACTGTTACCCTGACTGCTAAATGTTAACCGAAGATAGATTATTATATTTTTTTACAAATGCACAATGTGTGACGCTGATAAGCTTACGTGTCAGATTTTTAGAAATGTTTTACTCAGTATAACTGTTTTTTGTTTAAAAATTATGGCAAAATATCAATGCTTTGATGTTTTGAATTCAAATTTTTTCTTCAATAATTTACAAAAATAAATTACATTTATACGCATAAACACCTTTAGTAATCGTCTATTTTATTTTAATATGATAAATTACGACATTCGCCTTATATATAAAAACTAAATTGCAAATAGTATACGTGTGAATCCAGCTAGTTGAACACAAAGCATGCTTCATAGAACTTTCTCTTCAGTTTCCTAATTATATTGCAGATACATGAGGTATTTTGGAAGCAGGAAAGATGCAAAATAAGCAACGCCTTCGCCGGGAATCGAACCCCGGACCTCTGGAATATACGCCTAGCATGCAGACCACTACACCACAAAGCACACTAAGAAGGCGGGGGAAATACCTTATGATATGATATAACTTGTTACTTAATAGCAAAAAGTCACTTGAACGTACATAATTGTTCAATGCTCCAAGTGCTGAGCCGATATTAGGTGTTCATTCTTCCTTGTCAGAAGCGAAAGAGTTAAGACCTTTGCCTTGATACTTTTGATGTAAAGAGTTTTAATTTAATTTCGCTCAAGAAATCTTACACGATCAGGAATTACTTTAGAAAGTAAGAATTGCATTGCAAGGTGCAAATATTATTTTATTTAATCGCTGTCACGTGAAAATATGAAGTACAAGGGTGGGTTGAAATTTCACAGATTTTCGAATTATAAATCTACTGATATTATAATACTTGTGTTCTACTGAGTTTTATCATAATCACGGCGGTTTGATTTTGATGTAGAAGATGGTACACCCACAGAAGGTAAGCGTAAAAAAAATTTAAATAGAAACCGTTTATAACGTATAAAATAGCTTGCGTCTTGTTAAAATAGCAAGAATTTACAGCCTACAAGCTTCAATACAATGAAGACTCACTAGTGACTTGTTTGAGGATGTAACAATGTTATTGCTATTGTTGCAACGATTAACATTACCATCAAATGTCGCAAGCGAGAAAGTAACTGTGAGCATTTCACTGGAAAGCAAACATAGTCAAAATATTTAATGTGGATTATTTGTGTTTTATTTTTGAAGTACATGGAAAGTTATGTATTTTCCTCCTTTGTCAAAATGGTACCTGATAGAATTATTAGTTGAGCAACTAGAGAAAAGCAATCACTGTTGAAATAAAGCATGAAATTTTGAGCATTTCCAACAATAAGAATGCTGGAGAAGTTAAACAACAAGAATCAACGTAACGCTTGTAAATTTTGCAGGACTACTTACGATGGTTTAAATACAGAACTAACTTCTATCCAGTTTCCTAAGTCCAAATGAGCGAGTTAGAATATGGTGATAAAATAAGAATGACTGGAAAGAAGCCAAGCTACTGGCTCCAAAGTTTTTCCCTGATTAATAAGACAAGTCTCTTTAATGTACCAAGGGCTCCAGTATAAAAGCTCATATATGCCTACCTTTAGACCTTCATTCTTACAAAGTCTACTATTCTCCTAAAATCAGTCATTTTTATAACATCTGTCTTTTAGAAATTCCGAAGATTTAATCACAGAAAGATTATAACAAAGCCACTGATAACTGACGTCCATCCTAATTGCCGATTTTATTTTTATCGGGAGCACAAAATGTAGAGAGAACTTAACGCAAAATATTATGTTTTGTTCCAGTATGTTGAATAACATATCACAAAGAAATGAACACAACCATATAGGGTGGATTTTTTTCTTAATTACAGTCTTTAATAGCATGGTTTTTTTAATAGAGCAAACCTTTGGACTGGAAGCCCATCTTTTGCCAAATAAAGGAACTAAGTTTGGGAATCCATTATTTTTCAGGGCTCTTTCGGAAAACTTTAATGATGGTCTCACGGTGGTTTAAGCTAAAACACATCAATCGTACGGGCATCTAGGTATTAGTTGACACAAGACCTATCTCCCCAAATGAAAGAACCCTCATCAAGAGGCATTCATGCGCAAAGTTGCATTGATTAATAGTTCTTTTCTGAAACAGACTTAAGACGTGAACTTTACTTTAGGGTTATTATTTTCATCAAGGCAATATAGGATTTTGTTGCTGTGTTTATTTTCAGTGGCAGATTATAGAAAAGAAATCTAAGACCCAAAAGACAGAAGATTAAACAACACTATTTATAGAATATAAAGACTACGGAAAATGAAAAGGAAATGAATTTATGTTTGCCAATTCTTAAACACGTTTTCCTTATGCTTGGCTTTTTTAAAATTTTCCTTCGTATTCAATTTTTTATGAGAATAAATTATAGAGATTTAATTGTTACATATTTTGCAAACTGTAGATTTCGATAAAATAGATTCTGGGCAGATATCTGTTTGGCTGCATCCGTTCTATGTTTTTCGAATGATACTCATGTTAACTTCAGATTTTACATTCTTAATAAAATCAGCAACCACATTTTATTTTTACCAGGTCAAAAATATATGGCTTAAGACCTATCTTGTTTTATTAGAATTATGCCACAGATCTTCAAATTTAACAAGTGGTTATATATTATGTTTAATATCTTACAAATTATATCAATTAGATGTGTTATTTAAAAAGTAAAGTTCTAAAATGTTGAGAAGTGCATTTATTGCTTTTAGATCTATCAGTTTGTTGAACAGTAGTAATATGAAAAGCAAATTAAACGTATCATGCCACTGGTGGAAACTAACTATATATTGAGCCGCGTGTGAAATTAGTTACCCTTCGAACAGCGAGGCCTTAATATAAACGGCTTTCAATATTTTTGTAATGCCTGTAATGAAAAAAAAAGATTGGGCCCAGTTCTATATTTTTCATTCTACTGGGCCGATTGACGAAATTCAAATTGCGTTTTTCATATCTCGAAAGTGCGACTTAGGATGCATATTAGATTTATATATACTGTTGTTTTAACTAAGGTATTTGACAGAAAATCGGACTTTTTCTGGAAAAAATTGGCATGTCAGTTTAAAAAAAGTCAGATTTTGTGTCAAAGTCTCGCTTTCGAGACATGAAAAACGCAAGCTGAATTTCGACAATGGGCCCAGTAGAACAGGAGATACAGAGCTGCCCTTTTTTTTTTTTTTTTTTTTTTTTTTTTTTTTTTTTTTGCTCAGTGTACATATACATGCATTTTAAAATATGTCCAAAAGATTAAGGGACTATATTAAAAGCACATAATTTAGGTTTAAAGTACCAGGAGTATTTTGGGGATAAAATCAAGAAAAGACACCTTTCTCATGGTAGTTTTCTGAAATTAGGGCTTTCTTAGTGAAACCCGTGCCGGGCACAGGGTAAATATCTTATGTTTGGGACAACAGTTTTATCCTTCACACACTTTGATAGCTGAGTATTTAATATAGCCAGTAGAAATGTATAATATTTTGTTCAAGAATTATCATTCAATTAATTATAAAATATGTCAAGTTAACGTATCAATGAAAAACTGAGTAGATGAATTATTAATGTTAGAGTTGAGAACAAAAAAGGAAGTCTTTAAATTTTGATAATTTATAATGCAACATTTAATTCATAGCAACGTCACATAATCATGATATAGTTGAACCTCGTTAGAACGAACTTAAAGAGGCTTAAAATTTAATTCGCTATAGCTGATATGATAAGAAAATATGGATCATTTCTCAAAATACTGTAAAAATGATTGATCAGCCACAAAAAATGCCATCTACCATTGCAACATCATGTAAGACAGAGTTTCTTAAACTGTGGGTCGGGACTTCCGTGGAGGTAGCCAAAACGCTTAGCAGTTTTGATATTTCTTTAACTTATTATAATAATTTTACAATTACCAAATATTTTTACGCAATGCATCTGAAAATAGATAAAGATAGGACAATACAGACAGAGAAATAAACGAAAATGTATCGACGCATTCTTTTCATAATATAAATGTCCATTTTACTTGCTTTGCAGGTGACGCTGCCATTTCCTCTGTTACTTAATTGAAATTTTCACAATGTAAAGTTAAAGATATAAAACTGCAATTGTTATGGGGCCCCACAAAGTTTTCGTAAATATTATGGAGGTCCTGTCATCGCAAAAAATCTCAATTATAAAAAGAAGTTTCGACTGAAAAAAGTTTAAGAAGCCCTGATCTAAGATAAGTGAATGATATCTCTAACTTAAAAAAACACTTATTGAGGGTTAATTACAATTTCTTTTGCGTTGTTATGCAGTTTCATTATACTTTAAGAATTTAACCATATAAATTACATAATGTAAGTCATGATTTATACCCGTCCCTTCAATTAAAAATCTATACCTAAAATACATATTTGTAAGAGGTATGTGGTCAAATAA